GGAGGTCGGTACTTTGAAGCATTTGAAAAGTACAATGACAACTACACTGTATATAATCAATGTTTCAATTTCTAAGATCCTCAATCTAGGGTGATATTATATTATATTATAGGTCATAACCCTTGGTTACCCTGTTCAAAAATATACTTACTTTATATATAAAGTCAAGTAGTCGGCCCGTGGGCCCATATTCATTTAAAATCGCCCATCCATATCCCACGGGACTACTGGTCACGATTTTCATATGTTTATAGTAAATTGTTACGCCATTCTAGGGCTTACCCTAACGCGTTACTTCACTATTTCGGAACCCCGTTCACTTATTATAATTTCACCGTGCTAAAGCCTCGCTTGTAGTCACGTTTCATAGTGCTAGAGTCTGGCTCTTAGTCACTCTACATTGTGCTAGAGCCTTGCTCATAGTCACTCTACATTGTTCTAGAGCCTCACTCATAGTCACCGCTACATCGTGCTAGAGCCTGGCTCGTAGTCACGTTACTAAGTCTCTAAGCAATTTCTATGCCTAGACTCCTCCATTCACTTTGGGTAGCCTTTAAGGTCTACCCCTAACATATCTTAGAGCGCATACAAATCGACCTTAAAGTATCTCTTAAAACTACTTAAGGCATCACTATTCACAATCAAATCTCTTAGGATTAATCCCATCATTCTTCATATAAATCTCCCGACTAGTATTTTAATACTAGTTGGATAACCTTAGACAACCAAGTTCTTAATCCATAGTCCAATGATTCATTTCAAATGATTTTCCAATCCAAATATAATTTAATCTTAACATCAAAAATATCACTTTTATCCATTCATGAATTCCTTACATGAAGTAAAAGTATATTTTGTCACAATATTTGATAATTAATTCCTACTATCATGCCATCATTTTCATAACACATAATCATACACAATTTCTTCTACAATTTGTATATCATGCTTCATTTACTCATATGCAATAGTATTTTCATTTGGGCATTATTAATCATTAATAATCCATGAAAATCACATTTAATACTTTAGGTAATCTTATTAAATTAACTCACTAATTATAAGCAATATAGTCGGTCATCCTCACATCGAATGAGCTTTAATAAGTTCTACCCTTCTCGGTTGAACTCCGGCGAAGCTCCGGCGAACTCCGACGAAACTCCGAAGATACTCCGGCGAAACTCCAGCTATAATTAGGAACACCTTAGTCAAGCTCCTAACAAGGTTTTATCATCACAAAATCCATATCAACACAAATAACATCTAAAATGTTATTTTCCGGCGAATCGGTCACTTTGGCTTCTAAGTCCGTTCTTGGACTTAGAACTACCTTCCAACCCCTCATTCTACACTTCTAAACATGTAGAACAATCCTAGGGACCCTTCATATGATTACACAATCATGTGAAAAGATTAAGAAAAGGAAAATAGGATTACTGAAGTCATTACCTTGTTATCCTAGATTTTTCCTTCTTAATGACCCGTTTTTCCTCCTCTTTTTTCTTCTTTGCTCTTGGTGCGAAAATGGGTGAAGAAGCTGATTTTCAGAGCTTCTCACACCTTGGCTGAGGTCCAATTCGAATTATGGGGTTGGTTGTTGATTGAGATTTGAGAATGCCTTTTTGGTATTTCTCACAACAATAATATGGGAGGGGTCCCATTTCTTTTATTTGTTTGGCCACCAATCAATTCAAGCTTGATCCTCCATCCTATTGTCCGGCTCCCCCTTCCCTTTGAAAGGCTAAAAACGTGGGATGCCCCCCCCCTCATGTGGGAGGTCATCCCTTTGTGTGTCACGCCCCGGACCTACCCGGACACGTCAACAACCTGCCGTACAGTACGAATAGTCAACCACAGTCCGACTCATCCATACTATACAAGGCGTCTTAAATACCATTCACACATAGTACATCCATAAACAAACATAATGTAAAATAAACATTTATAGCAGCGGAAACATTTAACATAAGTGTTTATGTCACACCTTGGCAAACATGGGCGTACAAGCCCCCAAATGATTATTCAAAAAAAAAAAACAATATCCATGAGCATTATTTAAGTTGTTTTCAAAACAGAAACGGAAGAAGCACGAACCACGTCTCCTTCCTTTGATCTCCCCGAAGCAACGGGCGGTGGCAGCAACCTTCAAGTTCTACCTGAAACTGTGAGGTGGCCTCCCCCGTGAAGGGGAGGTCAGTACTTGGAAATATTTGACAAGTACAATAGCAACTATACTAAGTATAATTGATGTTTTAATTTCTAAGACCCTCAACTTAGGGTACTATTATATTATAGGCCATAACCCTCGGTTACCCCTGTTTCTTTTAACCGTACTTACTTTATATAGAGTCAAGTAGTCGGCCCGTGGGCCCATATTCATTTAGAATTCATCATTTCCATTCCCCCATGACCGCAAGTCACGATAACCCCGTGGGGTCCCACCGAGCCCCAATTGTATAGCATGGGCTCGGCCCAACTACATTTCTATACAATCCTCTAACTCAATATAACATATCAAAATTTGTATGGCAAGGGCTCGGCCCAACTACGTTTCCATACCAACCATAACTTCGTGGCAAGGGCTCGGCCCAACTACGTTTCCACGGAGATCACATATACATGGCAAGGGCTCGGCCCAACTACATTTCCATGCTAATCATATTACATGGCATGGGCTCGGCCCAACTACATTTCCATGTCATCCTAGAGTCCAACTCTAATTATTTTCATAATCCAATTCTCAAGCAAATCCTATGCCTAGAATCAATTTCCTTGGGTAGCCTTAGGCCTACCCCTATCACACCTTAGTGTTCATATAATTCAACCTTAAAGTATCTCTTAAGACTACTTAAGGCATACTCATTTACAATCCTATCTCTTAGGATTAATTCCATCATTTATTTATATTAATCTCACGACTAGTATTCCAACACTAGTCGGATAATCTTAGAACCGCCAAGTTCTTAAGTCATAGCCAATTAATTCATCTCGATTGATTCTCCAATCCAAATATAATTTAATCCAAATATAAAAAACTATCACTTTTAACCATTCATGAATTTCATACATGAAGTAAAAGTATATTTTATCACAATATTATCATAGTTAATCTCATCATCATACCATCACTTTCATATCACATAGTCATACACAATTTACTCTAAATTTGTATATCATGCTTCACTTTTTCACACGCAATAGTATTTTCATTTAGGCATTATTATTCATTAATAATCCATGAAAATCACACTTAATAATTTAGGTAATCTTACGAAATTAACCCAACAATTATAAGCAATATAGTCAGCCATCCTCACCTTATGAAGTGCTGAAATAGTTGCCTTTGCTAAGCCCCTCGATCAATCCCCGTTCTAGGCCGACTGAAGGTGTAAAACTGAACTGCTGGGAAAAAGCCGGGCGGTTTTCACGAAAGCCGGGGGGCGGCTTTCGTGTTCTGCAGATACGAGCAGCTTCCTTAAAGTGGCGGTTTCCGGCGATTTCGACTCCTATCGATTCACCAACTCTTCTAAGTTAATTACCACCACTTTATATCAATATTCTACACTTTTTAAACGTGTAGAACCTGATGTTTAATCCACCATATGATTTCTTAAAAATCATATACAAAAACTAGTTAAAGAATACTAGTTGGATTCTTACCTTGCGTTCTTGCTAATTTCCTTTGGATTTGCTCCCTTCTTGCTTTCTCCTAGCTAGAGCTTTGTGAGGCTATGTCTTAGAGCTTTCCCTCCTCTCAATCATCCGTAGGATGCAAAATGATAGAGGAAATCTCCTCACAACCACTTGCTCCCAATAATAGGAAAGGTAGGATCATGGTGGGTATGGGTTTTTGTCTCTTGGAGACTTCCCACCTACTAGGTATACCCCCCCAGCTGCTTCCTTGTCATTTGCAGCACATTGGGTCGTGGGGTGGGCCCCACTTATGTGGGAGGTCATCCCATTATATCCCGGTGTGTATAATTGGCCCCGAAAGTTGTATTTTTCGGACTATTTTAGTCATATTTTATTTTATCGGGCCGGATAAAATATATCACGCGTTCCCAACAATTTTGGGCCTTTAGAAACGATGTACATTCCCCCAACATTAATTTAGGAGCCTCCGAAACTCATTTCGGGCTGTTATCCGTTAAATTGCCAATACCGGTAATTGGGCCCCGTTTGACCAACCGGTCAACTCCATGCCTTTCTTATGGCCCAAATAAAATATCCACCACCATATAGATGTCATCTAGACCAAGATGAATATAATATGTGGTTCGGGAATTATCGGGCGGTCCCCGTTCCCACTGTGGGCCCCACATGCAATTTACTATTCACGTAAAAGAATTAATAAAATTTACAATTACGCAAATTCATAAATCATCTTTCAAGGTTTATTACATAATTCACTAAAAGTAAATATGCCCGGGGTCGGTGTTACATTGTGTCCCGATGTGTACAATTGGCCATGAAAGTTGTATTTCTCGGACTGTTTTAATTATATTTTATTTTATCGGGCCAAATAAAATATATCACACATTCCTAATCATTATAGGTCTTTGGAATAGATGTACATTCCCCAACTTTAATTTAGATGTCTCTGAAATTCATTTCGGGCTGTTATCCGATAAATTACCAATATCGGTAATTGGGTCTCGTTTGACCAACGAGTCAACTCCACGCCCTTTCTATGTTCCAACTAAAATATCCACCACCATGTACATATTATCTAGACTAAGATGAATGTAATATCTGGTTCTGGAATTATCGAGCGGTCTCCGTTCTCGGTGCGGGCCTCACATGCAATTTACTATTCACGCAAAAGAATAATAAAAATTTACAACTTCGCAAATTCATAATTCATTCTTCAAGGTTTATTACATAATTTACGAAAAAGAAATATGTTTGGGGACGGTGTTACACATATCCTCTCAGAGATGCCTTCACATGCATATCTATATAATTTTTAGCAAAGCATTTGACCTGCACATCTATACTCCCTCTCCAAAAAACTGCCAGGCAGCCGCTATGGCCCTCACAGTCCACCGAAAACGCAGCATCAATACTCCATCCGTCCCTTAATACTTTGTCATCTTTTCTTTTTGGGACGTCCCAAAAAACTTTGACATTTTCCCTTTTAATCAATTATTTTGTAGTTTCTATTATTTCTCTTTTCTCTGCACAAACCTCAACCACACAATTTTTACATTATTATTCTTCGTGCCGGTCAACTTTGTCAAAGTTTTAAGAGATGGAGGTAGTAGCATTTATTGTATCAATTTCTTCCTAAAATACTAGTTCATATAGTTTATAAATACTTCATGTACACTTCCTAACAAAGGACATAATTCTGAAATAAAAATATTGTCTTATGTTGTCTAAATTTCATATGGTCTTGTAGATTAGTAGATTAGCTCATGTGATTAGATTAAAATGATCCGAAGGCTCCATGCGCATGTATTTAGGTTTCTTAGTTTTGAACCGGTTTCCGTCTAGCGGCGCCCTCTTCAATGAAACATTCTTCTTTCTTGCATACCAGCCGTTTGATAATTTTCCCAACCGAAGACATCTCTTGGAACAGCAGTTCCCTCCCCAATGTTCTGTCGGGCCATTCTTCATAGACTCTTAAGCCCGGCTCCAGTCTCTGCCGCCTTTGTTCCTAAAAGCTTAACAAACATTGGCTCGGGAGTGTCTAAAGATGACTACTTTGCAACCATTCATCACATATCAAACATTGTACGGCGAGACATCTATCTTGAGAGGACCCTTAATAAGATGCGAATAGCTAGCATTGTCAACTCGGAGCTCGTTTATCGGGTTCTTCGTTGCTGCTCCCAACATGGCATTGAGTCCTTCCGCTTCTTCAATTGGGCGAGGACACAACACCCCCGATATGATCCAACTACCCTTGAGTTTGAGGAGCTTCTCAAGACCCTTTCCCGAACTGCTCATTGGGAGACGATGTGGAAGGTAAATGGCCTCACTTGTCTGTCTTATACTCTTATCACCAAGACTGGACTGGACTGGACTTCACATTTATTATTTACTACTCCTCATGTGCTATTATAAGTCAAAACTGATCAAATTATCAAATAAAGCAACGCAAGTAATTGATACGCACGCTTGAGTTCTTTAATATTCCAATGTTATGACACTCCAATAAATGAATATACTCTTAAAAACTAACCACAATGTCTGTTAAGGGCACAGAATGGAGATTAACAATAAATAAATATTCCATGGAGAAGAAAAATGCAATGCCTTGTAAAAGGACCACTGACTAGGGAGTGTTAAGCATGTGTGGCCCGCTGGTTCGGACCATTTTGCTTTTAGCTTATGGAAAATGACGCCTCTCAACCATAACCCTACATCCATAGCTGGACATCACATTCATCATTGTTTTCATCATCATTGTCATAATTACTTCGTCTTTTCTCAACAACAGGTAGTTCTGCAAATGAAGGCACAAAGTGTGCCTGTTTCCCCCTCAATGGCATCTTTGGTCATTGAACAATACGGGAAGCATGGGCTCATTGATCAGGCCGTTGATCTCTTTAACCGCCTCCACAACTTGAACTGTCTCCAAACCACTGAAGTCTACAATTCACTGCTTTACTCCCTCTGTGAGGTCAAGAATTTTCAGGGAGCGTACACATTGATCCGTAGGATGATACGTAAAGGCGTCACCCCAGACAAGAGGACTTACTCTGTCCTTGTGAATGGTTGGTGCTCTGCAGGGAAAATGAAGGAGGCCCAGAGGTTCTTGGAGGAGATGAGTCGGAAGGGTTTCAACCCACCTGTCCGGGGGCGGGACCTACTCATTGACGGGTTGTTAAATGCGGGTTATCTTGAATCAGCAAAGGGACTCGTTAGGAAGATGACGAAAGAGGGCTTTATACCTGACGTGGACACCTTCAATTCTTTAGCAGAAGCATTATGCAAATCTGGCGAATCCGACTTCTGCATCAATCTCCTCCATGACGTTTGTAGGTTAGGATTGTGCCCTAATGTTGAGACTTACAAGATTTTGATAACTGCGGCTTCGAAGCTGGGGAGGGTCGAAGATGCATTCAGGCTCTTTTACAAGTCGGTTGAGGACGGAAACCGACCGTTTCCTAGTCTATATGCCCCAATTCTGAAAGCCCTTTGCCGCGGAGGCCGGTTTGATGATGCATTCAGTTTCTTCAGTGACGTGAGGATGAAGGGACACCCTGCGAACCGCCCGGTTTATACGATGATGATCAAGGTGTGTTGCCGCGGGGGGCGGTTCGTGGAAGCTGCCAATTATTTGGTGGAGATGACAGAGTTAAATGTGTACCCAATGTCACAAAGCTTTGATATGGTTACTGATGGGTTGAAGCATTGTGGGAAACATGACTTAGCCAAGAGGATGGAGCAACTGGAGATATCCATGAGGGGCGTATGATTGAGACCTTTTATAAAATTGATGAAACGAGAAAAACTGTTGCATGAGTACAAAAGAATGAATGAATACAAACCAAAACCACTGTGACCAAATTTTAGCTCTGTATCCATATTCAGATCGGTTGGCGGTTAGCCAGGGAATTGGATATCGCAAAATGGACCCATTAGTGTTGCTAACTTGCTCCTCTATTGCTAGCTAGCTATTGGTTCAAGATAATCTAGGATTACGGCCCCATAATAATTAGAAAAATGTGCTTGCAGCAAACTTGTCCTCTCGCTGATTTTTGTTCCTCGGCTTCTTCGGCATTTGCTTGGAAAGTATTAACCAGCAGGTTCGAGACTGGCTTTCCGGCCCATTTTTTTCTTTTTAAAAGGACACACCAAGTGTTGGATATTTGATAGTAATATATCCAAGGGATCAGATACGTTTATGTCAATTTAACACGCAGGCCCCATAATTTCACTAACTAAATTAATATTATGTGAAAACATCAGATTTGTCACATAATTATCCTCCAATTTGAACTTGGAGCTAGGATTAAAAATGTGTCGAACATTATGAATCAAAGATTCTTTGCCCTTAGAAAGAAAAAAGTTTGCATTGGAATAGACAAATAAGGAAAGTATGAAGTTTGTTTTGGTAGAGGGAGCATTTGATTTTTGTTGTCCACTCAAGACTTCTGCTTGAGGGAGTTGTGGAATGTGGAGACATTATCATGGGTAAGCGCTCTACTGCACAATATGCATTATATATATGGAATATAATCGATTCACCGCTTCTATGTACAGTCATGGGCTGCATCGCAGATCCCTTGCTTTATAATTAGTATTTCTATTTGCAGCCGCTAAATTTCTGTTTACATTCCCCAAATTAGGTTGTAATATATAAAATTATTTTAAAATATTGGATCTACCCTATTACTAAATCTAGCCCCTTACTTTCATGCAGAAATAAAACAACCCTCATGATCTCTTTAGATGCTACCTCATTTACTTGAAGACCTGGTGGAAATTTCTCAGTCAAGGACGAAGGACGTTGGACTGGCTCTCATGGCCACATTGAATGAGTCCCTTTCTCCTCCTCATGTTCAACATATCTTGCTGCCTTGTGGAATGTTAATGAGAGTGGCTAAAAACAATTGGAAATCTGCCTTTGAAAGCATCCAACCATTTTCATGACAGAACACCCCTTGTAAGTTTAGCTGCAGCTTTCAATTAACATGCATGGAATGGTTTGTCCTTCAACCTTTCTGAGTCCTCAATTTAATAGCAAAGTCTTAAGGCGTTAGAAGTGAGCATATTTTTTATGCCTTTACTATATTTGGAAACATTTGTGTTTTTTTGTTTACTGTTTTCATTTAGCACACCCTCTTACCTGATTTACTGATTATGTGAAACTTAGTGAATGCCGGAGGATGGTTGGGCAGTTGGTCATCACATGGTGAAATTGAATCACTGGAAGAGCAAGTGCTGAAACTTGCAAGTGTGTCTACTGTTGAGGGTGAGAGTATAAGGCTTTGGATGAATGAGAGAGACTGCTTTCCGAGGTATACTGGTATACTACTATGTTGATTAGTTTTCATGTTCTATGTAATATGCCGCAAGGCGGTAATGCCTTATTTTGTACTTAGACAATTAATATGGATATGTTTGCCTTATATTTTGATTTTTTTTCGTTATAAGACTCAAGTGCTTAAAAGTGAGTACGGCCTTGCATCTACAAATTATTAATTGTTGACCGATAATTCTATAAACCCTCTGAGAAATCTACAAATTGCTTAAAAGTGAGTACGGTCTTGCATCTTTTTTTTACAGACTAATTTCTTAAATTGTTCCCAATTGAAAATTCTCGGTACGTCCTTCAACTTGTTTGCGTAAGCAGCTCTCCACATGTAATTTAGTTAACATGTTTGGGTACCCGCACGTGTAGTTCAATTGATAAAGCGGTGGGAAAGTTGGAGAATGATCAACTATCGAAACCCACAACTGTCGTGTGGAGGTCATAGCTCCTTTATGCTGTGTTGGGCTTATGGTGCACACAGGTATAAGGTCTACCACCATTATGATTGGTTTTGAGGCACCGTGATTTACATCCTCCCACATGCTCTGTCGGGTTGGAGCATGGGGGCTTTTGGGGTTGGAGATTCAACCATTTTAGAGAATTGTTAACGTGTTTGGGCAAGTTTCTCGTGGTTTCGTGTGTTTGTTATTAGTTCCTAAAGAGACATACTGAGGGCAGTTGACTCACGCGTTACCTTTTTAAGCAAGAAGGTGAAAATAAAAATATTGCTAAGTTGTTATATCAATGCTATTTACATGATCTTTTGTTGTTTTAGTAGTTGTCATTTCTTACTTTTAATTGCAGTGAAAAAGATATCACACTTTCTCTGTTTATTATGTAAATATATCTGATTGACGGGGTTATGGGACTCAGCCTTAGACATGGACCCACGAGTCTAGGCACATGACCTAAATTAGGCCTAAGCCCGAGTACATTGTCTCTGATGGAGTATATAGCCTAGGAACCCCCCCAGCTCACATACTCCCGCTACAAGGAATAGGCCCACCGAACACACGCGGCCCAAATACAGCAACCCAAGTATGAGGCAGCCCACACCCCACAAGGAACCTCCTTTGGCACCAAGGTCGAAGGTCTCAAATTCAGGGGAATCACCCCGTTTTGGTCCAACGACAGGCCTGAGAGATTCGCTTCCTCACATCAGCCCTCGGTGATAAAACCTTCAACCTTGGTGCCGAAGGCCCTGGTTTCAGCGCAGACTCCTCTCTGTCAGCACTCGCATTACAGGGGGGCTCTTCGCTAGGGGTGGACCGGTTTCGGTTCGGGCCCGGTTCATGAAAGGGGAGGCCCGGAACCGGCCCGGGTAACCTCGGGTCCGGGCCTCGGTTCATGTATTTTTTTTGGCTTTTCCTAATTAACCCCCAACCCTCCCCCTCACCCCCAAACCACCCCAAACCACCTCAAATGGCCCATCATACCCAGCCCAACCCAAAAACTTTAAAAAAATTCAAAAAAAAGAAAAAAAAATGGCCCGACCAGGCCCGAATCGGCCGGGCTAGTTCACTATTTAGCAGGCCCGGGCCCGAACCGCCTAGCTCACTGGGCCGGGTGGCCCGAACCTGGCACCAACCGGTTCACCGGGCTGGTCCGGGCCCGCACAGTAGCGGGCCGGCCCGGTTCCGGCCCGGCCCGAGTCCACTCCTACTCTCTGCCACAGATTAACTTATACGTGTATGTGCATTTAATGCACCTAGCATTTATGACTAGTATAAATAGCGCTCATTGGACAGTTGTAACGACGACAGTTCATTTAATACTATTGCACACACTCTCTCTTATTTATTGATCTGTCTTCTCTCTAGATACCACTAGCGGTATCCCGGTATAGACTGTCTATCATTTGATGTTCTCATTGAGAGTTAGAACAATCAAGTAAGAACCCCCCCTTTCGAAAAACAACAACACCTTCGAGAAATGGGAAGAACCAGAGGCCATTCCAAGACTGTCAAGGACAACCACTAGGTTCCTGAGGAAACGAATGGCGCTGGTGCCCTCAAACAAAACGCTGAGGGCAGAACCCTAACCGAAATGGAGCATGCCACTGCCGACCTTCGGACCCACCTCCAGAAGATGGCTCTCGATGCGCTCATCGAGCTCGATGCTCGAAGGAAGGATATGAGCGAGATTCAACAAACACCCCTCCAATTTTGATCATCGACGTGCAGACCACTTTCTTTGCCTTCATCAACACTCTGGCCCAGAACCCTGGAGCCCTTCGAGCATTACTGCCGCAGATTATGAAGAATATCACACCTCCCCTGCCACCTCGTCGGCCTCAGCCTGAATTCCACATTGTACTGCCCAATCATTAGGGACCGCATGGTAATCCTCCCACTTACCATAGGATTCCTGAGGATGGTGGCGAGGGGCTGCGTTGTAAAGACAGTAACTGGGTGTGCTTGGAAGTACGGTGCTAGCCGTCTGATCGATGCTATCAAGGCGAGGATCGTCTTTTCCATCAGTGTGTACCTGGTTTCTGGGCCATTCAGCGCCTTACTCACAAAATAGATCGGCCACAGAATCTCCTCTTCATCTTTCAACAACACCGAGCTTACGACCAGATCAGCCACGACCAGATACATGTACAGTTGCTCCCTGGGGTCTGCTTTTGTGAGGACGAGCGGAGAGGAGAGGTACATGTTGAAGTCTTCAAATGCTGCCTGACACTCCGAGGTCCACTCAAAAGGATTCGCCTTCTTCATGATCTGAAAGAAAGGAATGGCCCGGTCCGCACCCTTAGACATGAAGCAGCTCAGAGCAGCCAGTCGTCCCGTGAGCCTCTGTACGTCTTTTAAGTTCCTGGGGGCCTCCATATCTATGATGGCCTTTACCTTCTCAGGGTTGAGCTCAATCCCCCGTTCACTCATCATGTAACCGAGGAATTTGCCTCCCTTGACGACGAAGGCACATTTCTTCAGCTTTAGTCTCATGTTGGCCCACTGCATGATCGTGAAGACCTTCTCCATGTCCTGGATGTGATCTTCCTTCTTCTTGATCTTGATCAGGATATCATCCACGTAGGCCTCCATAATTTTCTCAAGAACCTCCTTGAATAATATCCCGATCATCCTCTGGAAAATTGTCATGGCCTTCCTCAGACCGAACGACATGACCACATAACAATACATGTCGTCCGATGTGACGAACGCCGTTTTCTCCGCATCATCAAGGTGCATGAAGACCTGGTGATACCCTCTAAAGACATCCATGAAGCTGAGCAGCTCACACTCCGCCCACGGGCCCATGTAACTATGTGTATAAATATTGCTCTTGTGCATAATAAAACCTAAGGCAACTACCCATTAATCACTCAGGTTAGAATTCTTCAGATGACCATAATTCACAGGCAATCTTAATCGATCTAACAATCAATCGAAGTTGCTCGATTGATTTCAGAAATTAATTTTGCCAAAATTCGAAAACAACATTAAAGTTGAAGGGATACTTTCGATGATGGCAATTGATGAATTATTGAATTATAGTGCCGGCCGAGTATCCTCTTAGGGTTTCGTCGGTAGAATTAAAGTGGATGATGATTCACTAGTAAATTAAATTTGCATCTAGCTAGGTGATCCTATACAAAATATGCTACGATGTATATAATCGTGTATAATTTATGATGTCAAAAGGACAGGCTTTGATACCAATGGTAAAATTAAATTCCAAGATCTGAGATTTAGGAATACTTGGTTTCATAAAAGATGAATGAATTGAAATAAATCCCTTATCCCCTCTAGTCTCTTTCAGATTCTTGGCAGAGGTAGATATCTCTCAATTATATATAGGCAGGAGAGGGTTGAGGAACCCTAGTCCTAAACAGACTCAAATACAGGTTCATCCTATTATTAAACCAATTAAAGATCTAGGAATGAACTCTATTATAACTCACATACAGTATATTCTAACATGTGATTCTTTCTTATCACGACCAATTCAGCTAGTCTTCACTTCGACTGCACATTCCGAACTTCTCATAGGTAAAGCCTAACCACTCGAGCTTCGAACAAGATATCTCTGACGTTCCACTCGCCTCCTCATACGCCGTCTGGAGCCAGCCGACGAGGGCATTGAGGTTTCTCCGAGCTTGCCGGAGAGGGTATGGACAGGGCACCGAAGGTGTTCCACTCTCGCCGCTTCTGATTTATCTTGTGCCGGCCCGACGCTGCCACAACTGCCTGCGCCTCCACAATGGCAGAGTAGTCTTAAAATAGGGATTAAGAAGAAAAGATGAACTCAAGCTACTTTTTATAAACTTATCTAAACAAATGTATTAAATGCATTACATCGTTCGTAGAACATGAAGGTTATATAAAGCCATAGTAAAGCTAAGCAAAATGCTTCATAGAAAAGCTCAACAAACACCTATTTTGTAGGCATAACTACACGTTCGAAAACCAGTTGCTATACCGTGGGAGCAGCCCACGGTGAGCATGCTGCTCCAGGGCTAAAAAACGCGTGTTACTGTTCACACGTGTGAACAATAACTTCTTTTTGATTTTTTTCATTGTCCCAGCCGAAGAATGATGTAACTCGCGTGTAAAAAAATGTAAGTCACACTGATAAGAAATGTAATTGCAGACAAGTCAGAATGTAACTTGTCTAATACGAATTATAAGAAATAAAACATTTATTTCGATGAAAACAAGGAGTGGAATTGCTCAATAATGAATATATTTTGTTTTTTAATATTAATACCATAAAAAATTTAATTTTTTTTTGCAAAATTTTGTTTTTTCAAAAAAAAAACCCTATTTTTTTGCGAAACAATGATTCATGGTTTCAATAGTAGGTGATGGAGTATATGGCCCGGGAACCCCCGGCCCACAGACTCCTACTACACCAATAAAGGCCCAACCGGCCCAGGAAGCACAGCAGGCCCCGAATTACGGCGCCCCAAGCACTTAGCAGCCCACAACGCACACTGGGGAGCCTTCGCCCCCCTGGCCGAAGGCTCAAATCTCTCACAGAATGGTTTTTCAAGCAAACTAAGAAACTGGGAGGAAAACGGCAGAAAACAGTAGCCCTCGGCACCTGGAGCCCTCGACACCCAGGGGGTCCCCGGTACTCAGAGCCCTCGGCTAGTCCTCTGTAGCCGAGGGCACCTCTCCCGACATAATATCCGCGCCACATGCGTACAGATCACCGTACCCTGTACAAACGTCCCATCCAACAGCCGCATTAAATGCGGCCACATGCGGCTGCCAGCG